GTCATGATGCAAAGCTGGTTTTAATCCCAGACTAGATCCTGGCACCTTTTTAAAGCAGCCTCAGCCAGCTGGACTCAGGAAAAGGCCAATATACCATAAGGGAATAAAAGTACAGCATCCAGACTCAAGGCCTTAAGGGAGATGTGGATTTTTGTGTGTCAAAGCTCATTAAGCTCCAGCTTATTAAAGCAGTTCTGGGAGTTCAAGGGTAAATGGAATTACCTGAGTGGACTCAGATTTCGGCTGTGCCAGGCAGAAGGTGAGTCAGGGAAAGAAGCTGACCCAGGTGCCTGAATCACCCCTGAGAGGAGGGAATATCTTTCCATTAATTAGTAAGAGAGCATGATCTTTGTCTAAATTGAGTTCCACAGTACTCAGAGCCTGAACTGAAATAAAAGACCAGCTTTTGGAAAGTGGACTGTGGGAACAACAAAATCCGAGTATCAGCAGTTACAACCACCTTTGACAATAATGTAAAGTTCATATACACAGAAATCTCAGAAGGTAGAAAGATAGATCTAAAAAAGCCTCTGCTGATATAATGAATGGACTTTGTGTTGTTTGTGCAGTGACTGAACTCCATGTGCCATGCTCAGCACTGGCTTCTACTTACAAACCTTTACCCCTGCACAGGCAGCCAGAACATGTAAGAGATTAAACCATCTTCTGCCTTGGAAAATGTGCAATTCTGTTTAGAGGTTAACAGCACAAAGTCTAACTCCTGGCCTATGGCAGTAAGAGCAGCAATTCCCAAAAATTCTGTGTACAGGAGTCAAACAGTATCACTCAATCCCAAACTCATTTCCACTACTTTAAAAAGTCTTTCGAAATTACCTTAAGCAGTCTTTGAAAATTTATCAGGTAGATGAAAAGCCTGATTTTAAAGATCCTCATTTGATTTTTGTGCCTTTGACGTCACTGGCTCTCGGTGCACCTTGGAGTCAAAACGCAATTTAAAAAAGAGCTGTAAATGTTTTCAGCACAAATGAGGAAAGGTGTGTAAGGAAGCTGAGCGAGACTGAGGCGAAGGGCTGTGGATAAAAATGGAATAAAGCCTAAGCAACTATGGATCGACGCCAGAGCAGACAGGAGGGGTTGCCAAGTTCTCCCCCAGTTATCTCTGACCAATCTTCCCAGAATCAGCCCCAGAGGAAAGGCTGCCCACATTCCCTCAGGAAAACATCTGATAGCTGAGCCAGATTCTACAAAGACAGTAGGGAACACATACAAATTAGATATACAACCCAAGAGAAAAGCATAAGCAAACAAACAAACAAACCCACCAAGTTTCCACTGGAAATAAGAGTGAAAGTTTGAATTTAACTCGAAGTATTTTTCCAATAAAATCTCTCTGGAAAAGGGCCTGTTTTAAGAAACAACAACGTGCATCATAAATTCCATTTTACATGCACTATTCATATTAGCAGACATACTAAATAAATGAAACAAGCACTTTATTTTCTGCGTTATAAAGCTGAATAGCAAATAATTTTTTAAAAAATCTTGAATATCTTAAGAAAAAACTGTGTCAGATCAAATATTGACAGATCTTAGCCAAAATTTTTACAGTATAATCACTGTGTTTATTTCATGGAAGTGTTGAAAGTGTTGCTCATCCTGCAGCCCTCACAAACTTGCACATACACACCTACCAGATGTGTAACCCTATTAAAAGAAGCTTGAAACTTATTTAACTTTAAATGAGGAGTAGCATTTAGGCAAAGTACCGAGTGTCTAAATCATCTTGCACTCTGCACACATGCAATAAGCAAAGCAGGAAAAGTGATGAAGATTCCTTCATCCTTGATTTTTCCAAATTCCCTTCAAAAAACCAAGAGCATTAAGACTCTGTAGACAATACAGGAGCTACACATTTTCATCTCCTTCTCCACATTCTAAGTAGAGCTCCATCTTTTCATCTCCTTCATACACATCAATATTGATGTTCCCCCTCACCTCCTGCTAGACAAAAAAAAAAAATAACACCAGACTTACTGCCTGATTTAACAGAAAAATCAGAAGGAAAAATTCAAGTGAGACAAAACACACTAAATTTCTGCTAAAGGTTCCACCTTCAGCCAGAGCTGGTGCTGTGTCATTTAAGGGCTGAGCAGAGGTGGTTGGGACAGGTCGTGCAGCCCTTGGCTCAGGCAGGGTCAAACCTTCCCTCCAGCACCCAACAAAAATGGTCAAACAGGCAATTTATCCTGCACCTTTTCCTTTGATCTGCTCTGTCAAGGCACTGACAGAGGTGAGGGAATATGTTTAGTGAGAGTTTTGTAAGAGTGAGGAGGAAGGAAAAAGAAGGCTGGACGTGGGCAGTGAGGGTGAAGTGACTGTCACTTGGTCTGCAAACAGAACGTCCCAGCAGTCCCTCCTCAATAATTCTTACAAAATATATGCACAAGGTCAAAGATTCCCAAGACTTAAGTGTGGAAAACGGGATCATACAATAGTTTGGCTTCCCAAATATTTGTGGGGAAGTGTATCCATTCGTGGGTCAACCCTGAATCAACAGAGACGAGAATTACTGAACCAGGGAAAACAAACAAACAAACAAACAATAAAACAAAAACAAAATCCCCAATACCAGTCAAAGTTTTAAAATGGGGAAATGTGAGAGAAATGAGCAAAGAATAAACATTGACATTCACTGACACAGCAAATCTATATAAAGCATTTCTCTGTTTTATCACGTTATGAAACAGGAAATGAAGGGGTTTTTTCTGACTTGGTCCATTAGAGATTTACAGTATTTGAATTATAAGATCCAACTGAGCAAAAGGCCTTTTATAATCTTGTAAAGATTTAAATGAAATGCATTAAGACCAAGGTGAATTTCTGAGTTTCATAAGAAATCAGGGTCTTCTTTGACCCCCTTAATTCAGCTGCTTTGGTCTGGGAGGCAGAATGTAAAATTATTTTATCTTTTTCATTAAAAAGGCATTAAAACTCTCAATTGACCAAGCTTCAGTGGATGACCCAAAAATAAATTTCAGTCCAGCTCCTGAGAGCTCAGGGAGATTTCCAGCTGCTCTGGGGTTGGAGTTTGGCTTTGGGTGGAGCTCCAGGGTGACCAAGACCAAGCTTTCATCACACAACCAAACCCCAGGCTCTGCTCAGCAATCCAGGCTGTAAAAGTGTCATCATTAACAGGGAACCATCAGGACACACTTCAGTTGTTATTTTTACACCCCTGCCTCATTGTTCAGCCTTGATTTGCTTTCCCAGAGTGTGGAACTGTGCACCCTTTTACAGCTTTTGAGAGCTCAGGGCTTCTTCAGGAATGTTCTTTGGTCTGACTGATCCACCCCCACAACTGAAATCACTCTGAACGAGAAAACCTCAGGATTTTTCATGTGAGAGAAACTTCCACAGGAAAAGCACATTGAAATGGCACAGAACAGGAACGTGAGATTTGCGTGTGCCTCAAATAGCTGTTTGTGAGATGATGGCACAGCACAGACCAGAAGTCTTTAGTTCTTAGGCTGGATTCAAAAACTGAGTCAGAATCCTGCAATTACTGGAACACAAACCACAAATCTGGCAAAACTGCCTTAATTTCATGTAAAATAATCAAAATAGAGCCTTAGTTCTTTTCCAGATCTGTCCAAAATGGCCTTAGGCAACTGCTTGGGTTGCACCCTCGATGCCAACAGAGTCCAGGCTATGCTCAAATCCACCTCTGCATGTCATGACCTGCGTCCTGACCCCACAGTTTTGAGCCCAAACTTCATTTCAGATGAAGTTCTACAATACTGCCTGGGGGGGAAGGTCAAGCTTTACCATGCACTGCAAATCCTCATGTAATGTACTATCAAGAGGAGATCAGAACATGCAACACATCTCTGGATTGATTTCCCTCTGCAGGGCTGCTCTGGAGCCCCAAACCCCACACCAAACTACACTCAGAGTGCAGAAATGCCAGAGAAGGGCTGTCTACCAACCCCTGCAGCAACCAGGGACAGACAACCCTGCTACAGTCTGATCCAAACCCAGCCCAGCCTTCTCCCCTGGATGACATGTACCAATCCCACGAACTCACTCATGTCCTGACACAGCTCACCTCCACAAATGACGTCTGGGAATCTGCTCAGGTTTCTTGGATACTCAAGGTTGAACATTTTGGGAAAGGAAAAACAACCTAGGAATAAAGGCCTACGAGGAGGAGAGGAACTCTTGGAGAAGCTCTAATTTCCAAAACATTAGTTTCAAATTCATTACCAATGCCACTGCTACAGATAAGCATCTAAAATAAAACAGAAATAAGAAAAAATTGAGAAATTCTCCTCTACAGATCACTGAAAATCGTAATGACACAACCTGTCATGGGAATGTCTGATTTTAATTGAACAAAACCCAAAATCATCGTGTTTGAGATTGTGCCACGTCAACAGCCTATAAATCTCACAGTAAGTAGCTGTAAATGGATTTATTGTCTCGTTTGTTTGAAGAAACAGCATTATTGTTCTCCCAGTGTTACCCAACCCTCTGAGCACCTTCTGAGAAATCCAAGTTTTCTGTGTGACACTTGTCATGGCCAGTCTGGCAGCACAGCACAGGTCATTTAAGCACAACTGTGTGGTTGAAATGTGAGTTTTCAGAACAAAGGCAGTTGCAAAATGTACACACAACCTACCCAGCCCATCCCCTGTCTCCTCATCACTGCACAAGGTGTCTCTCCTCCTCATCCCCTGGTGCTTGATTTTCTTTAACTTAAATTTTAGCCTAATTTTACTCTAAATGACAGCAGAATGTATTGATGATGGTTATTTATGGGCGTGGTCTGATACCTCACAATGTACAACAAGACACACAGTTCCTTACCTGGGAAAGAAAAAGTGGGGATTTAGGAACAAAATAACTACATTTGGAAACTGATACCAATTACCCAGAACTTCAACAGCTTCTGCACCATCTCCAACAAAACCTGATGAAGTTATGAACTTGATTAAAACACACAATTTGAAGACACTTGCACAGAACACAAGTTGCCAAGAGATTTTTAAATTCAGTTTATTTCAGAAGTAAAAGAAGACAACAACATAATTCATTTAGCAGACACAACCAAAATTAAGATTAGGCCTTGTTTACTCTTCTCCAAAACTCACTAGGATTCAATGTTCCAGCAAGAAATATTCCCACCTAATCACGTAGCTCTTTCAGCTCCCACCTGCCTGATCAGGTAAAAATCCAATGGAATTCCAGGATACAGCAGGTTATCTGTTCGTATTATTTTACTGCACCTCTATACTAGATGATTTTACGCTATATGTTAGTAGATAAATGACTTGCAGAACAAGTAGCTTTCTACTTAATTTTAATTAATAGTTTTCTAATTTGATAGAACAGCACTTAGTATGCACATTTCTTTATCCATCTGCCATCACTTCTGAGAATTCCCACTTAGTTGCCAAATCAGGAAATAATCCTGTTCAAAATACAACTCAAGACAGACCCAAAAGTGCATTGAATACTGAAAGATGACCCCTAAACTGCCATGATTTGATTTTTTTATCACATTTGCCTGAGTTAAGAGTCAGTAGCTGGGCTCTGAAACGCTCTGTATTTAGCCTGGACACTGACTGTATTAGGTAACATTAAACATGCCTAAAATCAGGTTTTATCCGTATTTTCTAGACACCCACATTCATAAGAACAAAAACAGAATTTCAGGAACCATTTGGAATAATTTTGAAAGGCCTTGAGTTGAATTTGGCCAAGATAAAAATATCTGTGCATGTGGAGGTTAATATGTCAAACAGTCAGCATATCATTATTTTTCTATGTAAATTCTTACAGATTAGAAAGAACAATTTACCTCCCTACCCCTGAAAGGACTGTAAGATGTAATCAAATTTCTTGGAGAGTGTATGGAACAAGAAAATATCCTTTCCTCTGTCCCCTATGTCAGTTATATCCCAACCAAGGATTAGCAAGCAAAGATTAGCTTAAAATACATATTGGGATAAAATTTACCTATATTCAGACTAAATTTTGTAGTGAACTTCATTTCTACCATAAGGAACGAGACATACCAACATTTTACCCCAACTACTGCACAGCATTTTACTTCTGGAAGGCCCAAACTGAAATTTCAAGGATGCATTTACAAATCCATACAGATAACTATTTTATTAGAAATAATTGAGTAACATCAGTTTTTTAACATTACAAGTTTATCCATAAGGACAATCACAGTGTCGTTACAGAAATCCTACCGAGTGATTCAGCCAGGAAAGTTTGGCACAACAAAATCAGACAGTATTTTGATTAGAAGGGAATTTCTGACCGTGAATTGCCTTTAAAACCACCATACCGAGCAGTAAAGCACTGGTGTTGAAAGGCACTGTGGGGAGGATCATTACCTGGTTTCCAATACAGATTAAAGCACTTGCAAGCTCAGTAAATCACACCTGAGAACACCCCCGTGTCCTGGGCCAAGATCTGCTACATTCATGGACGTGTTCAACAGGCTCCTGTGCAGTTGCAGGGACGCAAAATCCACAGAGCAAATCTCTGCAGGATGTTTTACAGGTTGGATCTCTCTTTGACAGACACACGAGAGGTGGACTGTGTGTATGTCCTAATCACATCCTAAAAATAAACAACAGTACCGTTAAAATTAAAGAACTTCAGGGAAAAAATGAGCACTTGAGTCAATGTTGTGGTTCCTCGGAGCAAGGCTTGTGGAAATGCTTCATTACCATTACAAAGAGGGGTAATTACCCTGAACACATCACAGGTCACCTACAGTTATTTTCCAGAAGCCTTACAAACCCCAGCTGACACAAAGTAATTGCACATCATTGGCAATCAACATTTAATTGAGTGTTATTGGAGTGATGTGTCCTTATTTCGTAATTCTACATGCACTGACTTCTGGCCTTTAAATCAAATGGGAATCAAGACCAATTTCTCATGTCACTGGATTTACAAGAGAAGCCAATCAAAATCTAACTACAAAAACCATACCTTTTTCCCACTCTCAGCATTGTATTTGTCCAGCAAAGCCTGGATACAGGCACCGTAGTTAGGATGAACATCAGTGAAGTTCTTCACCTAAACAGGAAGGCAGAACAGAAAAGGCAACAAGAATTTTTTCCTCCATTTCATACATATTCTTGACTGCTCTGTGGTTTACAAGCAGCATTTGCATCATAAGGAAGAAAAGGAGGATGAAATCTCTTTTCTACAAGTTTAACTCTGACCAGCCAGAAATGAGATATGAACATCCTGAATCACTGTTTCTACTGTCTCATCCTAGAGCTCACTCCCAATTTAAACCAAGTTGCACTGGGAAGGATAAAGATCCAATCCCTCCCTGCCCCTCACTGCCTTTTCCCTGTTTAGAGCAAAACCAAAGAGGCCACTTACAGCTCGTTTCTGGATGAAGAGCTGTGCATCCTTCAGGTGCTCAGCAATGTTCTTACAGAGCCTTTGGCGTTCTGCCTCGTTCAGCACTTTCAGGTAGAATTCCCGGACCTTGCCATTGGGGAAAAAAAAAAAAAAAGGGTTATTTGGAAATTCCCAAAAGCAAGCAGCTAGAAAATACTCAAAATACTTAAAACTCAAAAGGCAACCAACCTGTGAGGGTTTTCCTTTGGTAAACCTGCTACCCATTCCTTCTGGTTCTAACTTGAACTAATTGTTGCTTATGGAATTAATGAAAACAAATACTGCTGTTCGGATCTAATTCAGGAATTGAGGATCATGGCTTGACACACTCTAGTTTGCATATCTGCAGATACTACTGGCAAGAAGTCAGGTCACAGCCTTTTACATACTGATGCCCAAAATATGGATGGCAGAGGCCTGGGAGAATTTGCTAATTGTCCTGCCAGCACCAAGTCAGTTATTCACGAAACTGTGCTGTGTGGAGACCTCCAGCCCAGCCCAGATGCTTCAGAAAGAAGCCACATGTGCAATGACACCGTTAACATTCTCTGCAGTCACCCTGTAAACCCCTCCTGCCCTTCCATGCCCCACACCTGGGTCACGTTGTCCTCGTTGGCACTGTTGTAGCGCTGCACGTCCCCCGACACGAACACTCGGCTCTCCCTGAGCTGGGGCTGATCTTCCGGGCCAGTGAAGCTATTGGGGTAATAATTTGGGGCACCACCTGAAAACAGACAAAAACAACCCCCAAAAAGCCCAAACAATCAGATGCCAGCACTCTCAGATTAAGCCAGAGGACAATGTTCTTTGCTCAGAAGAACACAAGCTTCCCTGTGCTGGGGGTGTATTTTAAACACAAACCTACAGAACTGCATAAAAATGAACTTATTATCTGTTCCTGGACAACAGCAGCTGCTCTCAAGTTCTTGTTTTTTCAAATATTTCCTTCTCCTCCCTCAGCAAGTGCCAGAATCCCTAGCCCAAGGGAATGCATAGTTTGGCATGAGCCACAGCTTAAGTACATCCTTGTTTACTCCCAGGTGTAAAAGAGTCACTCTTGGGCAAACACTGACAAGACATGAGCTGCTCATTTCATTTTCACTCTTGCCTTTCACAATCCTTTGGAAATCAGAAAAACAAAGCAGTTTAACGAAGTGGACTGAGCCTATGAAAGTCAGTCTTTAAATTTAACGGATGCAAATATAGATTTCTCAAAGACATTTAGGCCACCTCTATTGTTTTTAGATTAGATTTTGCCTCTAAGTAGAACAAAGAGGTAGTAATCAACTTCTGTAAAAATATTTCTCTGACATATTTCTTCATTTCAAATAGTTAATCTAGAATTTTTTCAATTAAATCCCCTTTACCAGGCATGTTTCTAGAAGTCTTTAAAGGAACATAACCTAGGGACAAACAATACTGAATGGATTTTACTGCAGGTGTTCTCCTGCAACCCCCCTTTCTCTTAAAGACCTATTTGTTAAGTTTTTAAACACATCTTAAGCTTCACTTGGTTGTTACACTGTTAAACAAGCTCCTCATCCTGTATCCAGACATCCAAACTCTCCTTCCCTGGATTAAGAGCAGAGATGTACAACCACTCTAAACAAGGATGCAAAGATGACAAACATCCTAATTTCCAGGTACCAAAAGCTTCCTTCCCCCCCGCCCCCCCATTGCTTACAAAAGGAATAATTTAGTCCTTTTTTAGAAAGCAGAAGTTACACACATCAATTTGAGAACTCCTTTTATTTAAGCTTATCAACTACTGGAAACAAGCCTGAAGTTGTGAAAGGAGCACCCATGAGCTTCTTTAAAGTCCTAAAAAAACAGATGTAGATAATATATCCTGTAATCTACACAATCAAACTTCTGTTTTACAGGAAGTTGTGCTTCTCAAAACTTGTACAAGACTGACAAGAGACAGAGTGGATACACAAGTAAGAGTGGTGAAGGCTGGGAGTTCTGAAGCTGGGGAAGTGAACAGGAAAGAATTCTGCAGTCCATGCACAAGCATCATTATTGAAAGGTATCTTCACACCTACCTTGGTTGTCAGTAACAGTCATTGGCCCATCCCTCTGGTAGTTGGCCACACGGGCTCTGAAGGGGCAGTTCACGGGGATCTGGAGGTAATTTGGGCCCAGGCGGTGTCTGTGAGTGTCGGGGTACGAAAACAGACGGCCCTAAAATGTCACACCCAGAGGAGAGATGGCTGCAGTGGGGCATGGCAATTCACAGCACTGAACATTACTGCATTTATTTTTTATCACTGAACTGAACCTGCAGCACTTCTGGTGACACACAGATGCCAAGACAACAGACTAACTCTGACTGTGAAGTTTGTGGGAGTGAAGAGAGGCCAAAAAAGAACTGCATGATGGTTCAAGGGTTTATCCAGTTAAAACTGTCAAAATACCTTCTTGTTTCCACAGATATAATTTGAAATAACAATTTGAATTTAATCTGAAAAACCATAACATGCAAATATCCATGACTCTGCAACGAGCCTTATCAAACACTCTGAGCTGTAAGAAATCCAATACCACTAAGAATAGTCTTGTGGTTTGTATCAGGAATTGTTTATATCTGTATTTTAGAGCACCAAAGTCCACCTCTTACTCAGAAAAGTTTAGAATTCTGAGAAATGCTGTAAAAACATGAATAAATATGCATTGCTGCCTTGGTTTCATCTATCCTAGACTGACAACTTCAGTAACTGTTGCAGATGCCCTCTAAATTCCAGATTTTCTCTTCCTTTAGTTCTGTCCCGTTCTCCTTTAATTTCAATTCCGCATGAACACATCAATAAGCCACCACCACGAAAAACTTAAATAGATAAATCAGTTGGTTTTGATCCATCAGGTTTACTGCTGCTACACAAACAGGGACAGGAATGTTTTCATTAACAGCAGAGCAAACAGTGCTCACCGGGTCAGATCATACACACGTTGCAGTTTACCTGCAGCATTTTATCAGGGCTGGGTTCAATCCCAGGTGGCATGTTGCTGGGATCATATGCCATCTGTTCCACCTCTGCAAAGTAGTTGACAGGATTCCTGTTCAAGACCAGCTTCCCTACAGGTAGGAGAGGGTAGTCACCATGTGGCCAAACCTGTAAGACACAACATACACACATTAAAACCAACATTACTACGGTATCATCCAGCTTAACTGCCAGACAGCATTTGCCTGATTTAAGCCTTGATTGAGAAAATCCATTCCTGCATTTCTTTTTTGCTAACAAACATTGAGAAATGTCTTATTTTAAGAAGTCTTTTGCAACTAAGACAGAGTATTAATGCAACTTATTTCATCATCCCAGGATAATCTCAGCACTTGAGTACTTAAATCAAACACCCTCAGGGGCTTGAAAAACTGCCTAGGAATGCACTTGTAGGTGGAACTGGTGACACAATTGTTTTCAGCTACTTCAAAATGTTTAACTATCCTAACTGGTATTGTCTTTGTCACCTGAGCCAGTATTTTCAGGTTCAAAAAGTCTTCAGCCATCTGGGGAGAGCAATATTAAAGGGGGAAAAAAAGTTTATGCGAGGATTTTCCAACAGGTCATTCCTATGAACAGCTGCTGGGAGTCTGACAAAATCAGACCAGCAGGGCTCAGGGTGTGACCCTCTGATCTGAGATCACAATTCTGAAGTGCCATCCAGTTCTGTAATCGAGCCCTGTCCATATTTCATTGAGGAAGAGTCACATCAGGTACAACATCACTGCAATTTCACCTGCAGAACTGGACTCATCATAGAATGAAGAGCACATTTATAAACTAGAAGGGAAGAATAAAAAGGCCAGACTAAGCTTACTGATAGGAACTAGGAAGAGAACAGTGCTATTCCATGGAAACTGGGACACTTTTTTTACAGGTAAGCTCAGTTCTGGCATTTGCTACGTTATCTCCTGACCCTCCCTAAACCAGCTGAAACAGAATATTCACAACAGGATCAGAGGTACCTTAGTTACATCAAAGGGATTAAATGGAAACCTCTCTGCTTCTTCAAAGGTCATCACTTGAATGTAGAAAGACCAGGAGGGATAGTCCCCCTTGGCGATGGCGTTGTAAAGGTCACGGATGGCATAGTCAGGATCAGTAGAAGCCAATCTTCCTGCTTCTTCTACAGACAGGTTTTTGATGCCCTGGTCAGTCTAGAGGCAATAAAAGCAACAGCACCAGTTACAAAGTATTACAGAAATCATTAATCAGAATGAATTCTAACATGGTTTTTATCCAACATGATGCATAGCTCTAATACATCAATGGGGAAAAACAAAAAAAAGATCGATACCTTGGCATGGAATTTGCAATAAACTGCTCTTCCCTCAGCATTAACCAGTTTAAAAGTATGTGATCCATATCCATTCATGTGGCGATAACCATCGGGAATTCCACGGTCACTGAACAGGAAAGACACCTAAAGTGAAGGGTCAAACAATATTAAAGGGCTCATGGGATCAAACATAAGGTGATCATTCAAGACTAAGTTTGTTCATTGCTTTAATCTGTATCACTGGAAGCTATGATAATGTTAAACTAGAAATTTCTCAAGGAATTCCCAGTTTGAGAGTGTTAATGAAAAAACTGTTTTGGTTTTGCACTAAGAATAATTGGGAATTAAATCTTTGTGAAGTCTTCTGCCCACAAGAAGTAGCCATAAACCTCGTGGTAATGTTATGTAATGTTATGAGCTTCCCCATTAGCACAGATAATTTAAATTACAAATATAAATAAGGCTACATAGACTTCCAGATCAAACATGGAGAAAAGATAGTTAGAAACATGCTTCATAAAATGGTTTTACTAAACAAAGTCAAAGGAGAAGCTCACCTGATGCAAGGACTCAGGGCGAAGACTCCAGAAGTCCCACACCATGTCTGGGTCCTTCAAATGAGTCTGAGGGTTCCTCTTTTGGCTATGGATAAAGGATGGGAACTAATTTGTCCAGAAGTGGAGGAGAAAAAAAACAAACAAACAAAAAGAAATTATATGAGATCAAGAACAAGACAAACAATTTTTCAATATGTTTCACAATGGAAGAACAGCACATTGAAAATTGAGACAGAGATGTAAGATCCCTGAAAAACCTCCTACTGTCACACCCCTCCTGCAATCAGTTCATTCACAGACCAGTACAACTGGGGTAAAGTCAAGCACTTACATTTAGGATAAACAGGTTGTTCAGAGATAAAGAATGTTTTCATTGTGTGATGGATAAGGTGAGAGGTAAATCTTTTCAAATTTGTGTAACTTTACTGAGTATCTGACTTATAAATGAATGCAAAGACACTAGAAAACATCCTACAGAAAGCTGTTAAACTTACTAAAAGATCAAAAAAAACCCAGATTTATACAAGGAATTTGCAAGAAGCTTTTAAAGTAAAAATTTAGAGTGAAGAGTACGAAATCACATAAGTCATCAACCATTAGTTCTCAAATTCCCTTTCTTTTTAGTAACATCTTTTCGAGTCAAAAATGTTCAGACCATGTAACAAAGTTTAACAGGTTTTACTTCTCAGGTGTGAATGAACGTTTGGACTCTTTCCCAAAGTCCCTGGTGCTTACCAGCATTGCATCCCGGATGAAGAAGATGGGAGTGTTATTTCCCACCAGATCCCAGTTCCCATCTTCCGTGTAGAACTTCATGGCAAAGCCTCGAGGGTCACGAACTGTGTCAGCTGACCCAGCTTCCCCAGCTTGAAGAAACACACGGACACACAGAAGTCTTAGGAGAGGAAATGCATCCAAATTGTAAGCAAAACCCCATAAAACTTGGAAATAGGCCACTCAAGTCTTTTCTACACCAAGGAATTTTAGGCACATTTTCAACAGTACTTCAAAGTGTGACCAGAAACCCACCCAAACATTAAAGTTAAAAGAAAGAGAAACAAGTATATCCACATGAACCAATTATGTGTGGGATTTGCATTATCACTAAGAGAGACATCATGAGATTATGAGGCTGAATCATCCAAAGCCACATTTGTTTCTGTGCATCAAATCCCAGTGTGAAAGCTCCCCTGGAGAAGGCAGCAATCTACCCAGCGTGCCTCATAAAATATTATGGAAGGCTTGTAATCCCTTAAATTCCTCCTGCTTCATTCAGGATGGAATTTTCAGTGGGTAAATTCTACCAGAGCTGAAGTGCCAAGCACAAGCTGAGCACAGGTGTTCCAGAAGTGTTCAGAATATACTGATGAAATCAGTAGGATGCTCATCCTCTCACTAGAAAAATCTGTGTTCTACAGAATGTGTTCAAACAAGGGAGGGGAAGGGCAAGGGAAGGATGCAACAACTCCTCCAGCAGCATCCACAGATCAAACTCAGAGTTTATTTCTGGAAGATTGTTTCTTTTCCTTTGCCCAGGTTACATCGTTCCTCCCCAAAACATTCCCAGGACATAAGAGATTACACCTATTTAATTTCCAAGTGTTAAGCTGCAGTGTGCAAGTGTTGATTATGATCCAACAAGAAACAAAGCAGGCTTCCTGTTGGAAAAAACACAGTGCAGGCCACCCTCCCTCTCACATTTCAGACAGGAAAGTCTCTCCTGAGAGCTCTGACAGAAGGAGGCAGAAGGTCTTAAATTGAAATGAAATTTAAATTCATTTATTAATTAATTTTAATTTATTTACATTCAGAGGAGGACTTGGTTGGCAGAAAGCATTTGAAACCACTTTAACTACTGCACACTGTTATCAGGGGAACCAAGGCACACATGGAAGAGGGCACACAGCAATTTTAAAGTCTTACCAACAGTGGAGAATCGAATAGCGAGGGGAGTTCTTTTCCCAATGTGCTCAAACACTTTTGCCTTGCAGTACTGGGTGATATCATGAGTGACTTCAAAATAGCCAAAGGCTCCTGAAGAACAGGAATTCCAAAAGATCAGTTCTAGGTACCTTCCACTCATCTGTTACTCTACTGTGGTCCCACACACAACTTCAAGTCAGAAGCAAACATGGGAATACAGCAGTTTAAACACAGTTCATCCCCATGCACTGAACACTCCATTTATTCTCACAAAATGGAACTTGTTTAACACTCTGTTTGCACAGTGCTCCCTCTCTGCTCCTTAACTGATTGTTAACAGCTCTCAGCAGCAGCACAGGAGATGCTCTTCTGCCAAGATCTGCGTGTTTATCTCTATTATTTCTTTAATCCTGCTATGTGTTGCAGAATTTTTGGTCCACCTGCAAGCTGGATGAAGCAACAAAACTCTTCTCACCCCCACAGAGCAACTTTTCCCAAGTACATTCACATTACAAATTCATGTGCTGCTCCTTCTAGGGCAACTCGTAACAAAAATCAGAGGTGATAGTTCTACCCTTCTAAGATTAATAACAAATTTTAAACTGTTTAGGGTTTTGAATTAAATATCAGATCTTCAGCTTGCTTTGGCAGACAGATACATTGGAAGACAAAGCCAAGATTCTCTATTAAATAACAAGCAAACCAACATTAAAATAGAGATGATAAGTCTTCCCTTCCAGAGGAATGGGATACTATGGAGGAACAGGCAGAGGAAGCAGAGATTGCACAAATACAGTAAAAATCAAGTAACTACATTTTTTCTACCTAATTTTTTTAAACAATTTTTCAGTTCTTCAAGTTTTGGCACTGAGTTTGTTTTTTTTTAAACCGGGCCCTAGCACTGTTGTTTATACACATTTATTATAACTGATAGCACTAAATTATAAATAACATAATGCAACTTATTGCCACAACCTACATGTTACCTGGAAAGCTTTTAACTCTGATTCTACACAAAGAAGATACATAGGTTTAAACATACCTGCCCCTTTTGCATGCACGACTCTTTCAGGAATCCTCTCTCTGTCAAAGTGAGCCATCTCATCAGTGAAAACAACATCTTGGACAAGCAGAGGTCCCCGGGGCCCCACTGTCAGAGAATTCAGCTTATCCCCTATGGGGTTCCCAGCACCAGTGGTCAAGGCATCTGGTTTCTGAAAGCAGGGGACAGGAGATATCAAAACCAGCCCTCTGGGTTTAAATCACACAATGTGCAGACTGTTCAACCATTCCATGTCACATCAACAAGTACATGACAAAATGACTTCAGTTTCTGGAGGTAGTTACAGAAAATATAGGTGTTAACTACATCCCAGCACTGTGTCTGAGCTGGTTAAGAACAAGAGTTCAACTCATGTATAATCCAGGAATGTTTGCCATGGTTCAGAAGTATTACTTGTGGAGACTATCAATCTTGCTTCGAAAAAAATTGGGATGGGAAGAGAAAGCTAAAAAAAGCTGCTGGAAAATAACAAGGGAGAACGGAGAGGAAGAAGGAGGTAATGTCAGTACAGGGACAGAGGCATAAGGAAAGAGCTCCAGTCCCACAGCAAAAAGACTAAAAGGGGGTATCCATCATTACTGTTGGTCTGGAAGAGCTATGGAAAAGAACAGGAACACCTGAGGAATCATCATTCTGACTCCTGAACCGTGGAAGGACCAAGATCAACACAAGCCCTACAGCCAGGAAATGTCCTGTCAAAATGACAGCAATCACAACTTTCCTTTTTTTTTTTCCTAATGTTGTTATTGTCTATAAAGAAACTGCCCAAGATAACCCACATTCATCCTTTCCCCCTCCCTTCCACACCTTAAGAGCCCAAGTTTTATAGGCTACTGAGAGCAGCAGCATCTTGTTCAGCAGGAATGACCCTGAAACTGCAGATGAAAAGGGATGGTGAAGAGAAGGAAAAAGCCTTCACTTCTCTATCAGCTACTTTAGGGGGTTCCAGTTTTCACACTGACCACACAAGTTCTGCTTTAAGGGGTTTAATTGCTGTAAACACACACAATTCTGACAGATTTCTTTCTTCCCCCAAGAGGCAACCCACAAAGGCAGGGAAAGCACAATTATTCACATCCACACCCAGAGCTCCGGATGAGGCAGAGAATACAGGGAATTACAGACACTTTGTTCAGCTCAGCTACCTGAACAACCACATAAAAGACATTTGGCAGGATAACTGCATTTCCACTGTGTCCTTGCTAATATGCAACACACACTCCTGCAGCTGGCTTGCACTCCCAAAATACCCAAGTTCTTTATTCTGCATTCACCACTTCGTTAGCATAAAGCCATAAGCATAAATTCAATTCCTTCAGGATGCCTGGAATTCCCATCTACACTGAAATGTGCACAAACATTTTAAAAGACAATATATAACAAACAGGCCCACGATGCTCAGAAACTCACAGGTGAAGTTTCCACTTCAGCTTTGTTTAAAGTATTTTAAGTCAAAGCAACGTCTGCTCAAATCAAAACATGATCTACGGTTTGTCATTGGAAATATTCAAGAGTAGAAACTGCTCTCAGTGGTTTTTCCACTGCTTATTTATCACGTGCCTCCAACCTTGTATTTTGTTTTCTCTGGTTCATTTAAAACGGAGCAATTTCACCGCTCAATTTGAGAAATCACCTGTTTAGATTGTTTAGCACAAGTTCTTCCATCTCCAAGAGCTAAAGTCCTCAAAATTATGTCCTACAGGAGACAAATTAGCCCCCTTAAATGAGTAAACTTTATTATGCTTTGGCTATCATCTTCATTTGTAATGGCAGCTACAGTTTCTAGCTGAACTTTTTGAATCAGAATTTAATTTCACATACTAAAGCTGGAAGGACACCACCATATTCCAGGAATTCACTAGTTTTGCTGACGAAAAGCTTTCAAGCCTCTCACAGATAAAACCCAATCTATTAGTTTTTCTAATCATGGATTCATTGAGGGGTTTGTTGTATTGACTTAATCATTTAGGACAGGAGAGGTTGCAGGAGTGAACAGATCTAATCAATAGCATCCTACCTGTGAATGTTCCTCTCCAACCTCCTCGTGTCATTATTCATGAGACATTTCCTTCCTTCCCACGTGTTCTGTGTGCCCAGAGCATTCCACTTCACCCAAGGACAGCTAACGACACAAACACCCTCTGTACATCTGCAGCACCTTCTATGAATTCTGACTGCTGTCATTCCAACCGAAGCCAATTTGGGGACTGGATTTTGGGAACTCTGTCCCAACATCAAACATAACTCTTAAGACCTCTCCAGTCCATAGGGTGACTTTTCAAAGCCACTAAAATTGATGTCATCTTGAAGCACCAACCAAGTTTCACTCAGTCCACAGAGAAACACAGAAATTACATGGAATTAGAGCTCTGGTTACCTCAGAATTCATCAATTCTAAGCAGCCCAGTAGGTTTAAACACACCGAGGCAGAACTATAATGCATATTTTACATCTGTGACCTTTTCCTCTGCAATGACCTTGCAACAGCTTGGTAAAAGACAGGAGGGAGGGGGAAACGTATCCTTAAAGAGAATTTTTGATTCCCTCATGCCTTTAAAATATCTGTGAGATTATCTTACGGGTAGAAAAATAACCTTTGCATATTAGTTGTAAGCCATGCAACAAAGAGCAAAGGTTTGTAGAGGTAACACAGCCCTTCCCAGCCCAACAGGTCTAAAATCCACTTCATCTCCAATACTGACATTTAGGACTCCTCGCAGTAGTTGCTAAAACCACAACTTATTGAAACTGAGACCATTAAAAAAAGTAACAGCTTTGTGGCTGTATACAGTCTCTTTTGTTTGTGCAGGCAGATTTTCTGAAAGGTCCTTTCTGCTGTTCTCATTGGAATTTAAAAATATTTACTTTTTCAATGGAAGGATATATTCACTTTGGTTTCAGGATAACCCGTGGGGCACACAAAATAAGTTCTATCAGTGCAAAGGGAGAGGAAAAAAACACACAGGAGTTATAAGAAGAATTCTCACACTACTTTTGGGCTTTGATTCCTGTATTTTCATATGGTTGGGAGCTGCACACAGCCCAAACCTTAAAAGATAAGAACCTGTGAATCTGCATTTGTATTTCATTACAGCACCAACCTGCCACGACAGAAAGAAAGGAAACAAAGCCAGGAGAATTTTAGTCACTGCTGTTGTAAACACCACACATCAAAGTACACACTTCCAGGCATTACTGATACTTTGTACCTTATACAACTCACTTTAAAATTCTAATAAGTCCTCCCCTACTTTCTATCTTCAAGTCTCATGACTCCTTATGCAACGCAGACTTTGGGTTGCCTCCCAAATCTCCAAATTAACCTTGGCCCGTTTTCAAGTGCTGCCGTGTTACAGAAAAGCCGACATCCCTACAAAAAGCATTACTCACGGATAAAAAGGAGCTATTATGACACACACTGGGACTTGGTGAAGTCACAACTCAGCAGGTAATTCTCACACAGCACCTTTCAGACGTGAGAAGAATAAAATAAAATTGGGATGACTTAACATACACAGCCAGTGGGAAGTGAGGCGTCCACTTCCATCTTATAAGATTTCTGCTTAGTTAAACCAGCGGGAAGGCTATTTAATGGAATATACACATTTCTGTCAGAAAATACATCTAGAAACTGTCACAGTGATTTGATGAGGAACGAGGGAAATCAAATCTTGCAGCATTTATACATTTACTCAAATATCTTGGAAATATTCTATATCTTCAGGTGGCTGAGTGCCACGCTCTTGGTTACCTGCTCTTCTGATCTCGGTCAACTCACTTCACTGAATCACAGAATCCCAGAACGGTTTGGGTGGGAAATGACCTTGAAGACCATTTACTTCCAACCCCCTGTCATGGACAGGGACACCTTCCACTAGACCGGGTCGCTGGTCAAGACCCGTCCAACCTTGGACACTTCCAGGGATGGGGCAGCCACAGTTTCTCCGGGCAACCTGTGCCAGTGACTCACCACCCTCTCAGGGGAGAATTTTTTTTTTTCTAAAAAATTCACTTCAACCTGGCCAGCAAATACCGCTGAACACACTTCATCTTTTGCATTATTCCCCGGTTAAAATTCCACTGGGTTGTACGGATGTGATAGCAAACTGAAATGCAAGGATTGAGAAAAGTCGAGAAACATTAACACTGCCTGTGCCCAAGGCCCTGCCGGCCGGGGCGCAGCGCAGCCCCGCTGCTGCCTGGGGGAAATGCCGGGGCCGGCAGCGCTGACCGCCCGTGCCGCTCGGGGCCAGCTGGCAGCTCCCCTGCCCTCCGTGCGCCGGTCCCGGCACGGGCATGGGCCCAGCCCGCGGGGGCGAGGCCGGCACGGGCCGTCCCGGGCACACCGCGCACAGCGAGCCCCGCATCCCCCGGAACCCTCCGTCCCCAGGGCTCGCCCGCCGCCCCCGGGGGTGCGAGCAGCGGGCTGTGCCGGCCAGTACCTGCGAGCCCCGGTGGCTCTTCCACTGCTTCAGCTGGTCCGCCGCGTCGTCCCGCCCGTCGGCCATCTTGCGAGCGCGGGCGACCCCCGAGGCAGGAAGGGCGGCGAGGAGGGAAGCGGGAGCGGCGGGACGGCAGGAGCGGAGGGGCTGCGCTCGCTCGCAGCGAAGAGGCAGCGCCGGAGAGGTCGCCCCGCCGCCTTGTCCCCGCGCTGTCACCCTGTCACGGTGTCGCCCTGTCACGGTGTCGCCCCGCGGGACCCGCGGCTCCCCCGGCTAGCGGGAGACACTGCTGCCCCCGGCGCTGCGCCCGCCCCCCGCTACCTCCTCAGCCAATAGAACCGCCGCCAGCCTCCAAGGGGAGTTGTGATTGGTCAACAGGCACGTCAATCGGGCGCCGCGAGGCACCGCCCTCCACCCCGCCCCGAGCGGGCCGTGAGGGGGCGGCGGGCGCTGCTCCGGCCCCCGTTGTTGCAGAGCAAATAACTAACATGGAGCAATGAAAGTGCTTTTTTTTTCGGCTCTGATTTCAGTTTTGAGATGCCGGAGCTTTCTACAGCCCGCTGAGGGGGGAGGTGTTGTTAAGGAATTACAGGCGCAGGGCGCTGTGAAAACTGCGCTTCCTTGAGGACTTTCAGAGGCAGGGTTGGCTTCTGCAGGAAAAAAGATGTTTGTAAACTGCAAAATCGAAGTGACCAAACATACCAACATAAACTCTATAAATGTATGACTATATAAATGCCCGTTCTTGTGCCTTAAATGAGGCACGGGTCATACATCGGTCATAATCATGTGCACCCAACAGTAAAGAGTATTTCTTTAGAGCTCTGAGTGCATATCCTTAAAAAAAAAACCCCAAAACACTTCTGAATTAATAATGTGGTTATACTTACAAATCATGAGATAGATAATGTTCTCCCACTAGGCACTGATAACACTGTTGGAGGTCTTCTGGCTTTGTGCCTAATTCATGTGCCACAGGCAATAAAAGTGGTTAACAGCCGGTTATTTTTCCTAATTCTGAGGTAAAACCTTTGAGCAACATGAATATTCTATCTTAAACCGCTTATCTGCGGGATTATGTTTACATTCTTTTCTCTTAACAGATACAAAAAAACTGTCTAGCTCATTATGCCAACCCAACAATTGCTTTGTGTAGAACATGTTGTTGTGAATGAGAGGGTTAAACCTCTGCCTGCACTACACAGGGAATATCGCTGATTTTCCTCAGAATTAAGAACAGAAAACTCCCATTTTTTCTGCTTCAGCCTTATCTGATACATTTCTTTCATGTCTCTGAGTCTCATAATCTTTTTTTTTTTTTTCTTAACGTGATAAGCAACATCATAAAGAAGAGCAAGAAAGATCAGCTATGTTTCTGATATTTCTATGCAAGGTATACATCGTCAGACTGTACCCACTGCTACACCTAGATTTAATATTAGGAGTGCACACACATGATTTTTTTTTTTTTTTAAATCAGGGATTGAGATTTCAGTTTGCTTAATCAGCAACATGAGGAAAATGTGGACATTTTCATGAAAAGCTACTGTTTGCTTTTCCTTTAAAGTTTAACGTTGCTGGTCAAGGTGTGTCGATAAACTTGCTGGTCACAAATCTGCTTCAAAATAAGAGTACTATGCAAAAGCTAATTCTTCTCCCATTAACCCTTCTTATTTATTATATGCCAGAGAAAAAGATACATGTGTACGTACATACACGTATGTTTGCATAAAAAACAAACAAGAAGAGATTAAATATCGACCAGGGAAATATGCAAAAACAAAAATAAAACCCAAGGGAGAGCAGGTGGCAACATCAATGGCATGTATTGCAAGCAGTGTTTGCACTTCAGCTTAACTAAACCCAAGTGACTGTGTTTCATAAGAAAGGTCATACAAAGCTAAGCCTGACACAAACACATTTATTCCTTATCTTGCTCTAATTTTCTACTTTTTTAGTGAAGAAAGCAGTGAACGCTGGTTTGAATCCCACAGTTCCTTGCTGTGGTATCTTCATTTATTTCCTTTTTTCCGCCCTTCTATCTTGATACTTGTTTCCTGCGGCATCTTATTTGCCTGTGTGAGCCTCCTGTTAGACATGCATTAAGTAAACAAACCATTAACAATTCCAGATTAATCACCTTTATTTACCTGGGGAGACTGGTTCTGTGTCGCTGCATGACTTTCTGAGGCACAATCCAAACCACACTTCGCCCTTAATTAAGATTTTGGGAGATTAAAAGTCCTGGTGCTTTTCATTTGTGTCCTGTTTTCTGTATTTAAGGTGGGTTTAAACACAAACCTGCAGTGTCAGTGTCACTCACACACACATACATGATGATGCTGTAAATAAAACACATCATTCAGTGTTTTACACCCAAGGGAATTAGTTGAGTAGAAGGTCCATAGTGTCTGTTGCTTTGCTAATAAAATTACACAGGCACCCGAACCTTTATTTTATTCTAAAAGATCAGAAAGGAGAAGCCCAAGGCAGAGAGCACCCATTTCTTAATTAAGTTGATAATTGATGAGAACAGTTGTCACAGGATTGGGAAACCTAATTTTTGACCCTTCCACTAAATATGTTCAAACTTGTATCTTCCAGAGTATCAGATTTATATATCTAGAGGTGAGGCTCGGCTACATTTTCTACCTGTGCTGCAAGGAGCGAGGTTAGACAGAAAAACATAAAAACTCTGGTTTAGGCTCACATAATGAAAATATAATTGGTATTACTGAGTATGTTTTCAGTCATTAACCAAATTCAGCACTGCCCGTGCTATTGTGAAGCAATATAATGAATCTGTTCTCAACACTTGAAATAGTAATGGGCCTTTGTAAATAGCCAACCACTGGATGTTCACAGTACCTCAGGGGCCTCTGCAAATGGCTTTGCCACCCGTCCTTTTGCTGTCACACCTGGTGTAAATATCAGGGCCCAGAAAAATCGCTGGATGAGCAACACAGACTAATATTTATCTGTTCACTCACGTGACACGAGGTCGAGTATGGCAAACACAGGCAGAAAAAGAAGGTGGCTATTATATTTTAGAAAAAAAAAGAAGCAGAGACACGTGAGTAGAAACAACAGATTGGTGTCTATTGTAACACAGCAGACACAACACACTGTCTGTCTCAATTCCAAGGTGACAATACACGCCCAAAACAATTTTATATGTCCAACTTGCAATTACACAGACATGGATTTCGTGCTCCTTAAGGCCTTCCAGCCTCTGGGTGACACGTGGGAGATGCTGGACACAGTGTGTGGTGAGGAGGAGAGATGCAAGAGGAGATAGGTAATAATAAACTGGGGATCTCCATGTGCTCTGTGGGATGTGTCTGAGAGCAACTTCAGCTTAAGCCACCACGATGGTAAGTTTATAATTCAGTAACTTGGCCACATGTAGACTTTTAAATTTTGTGTTTCCAGTTATCAGATCTAGTGGAAAACTCTGAAAACACGAGAGTGGCTTCAGCGATTTTGAACTCGATGTCTTCAAACTTTGAGGTTCCTAAATGCCAATGGATACACCACTCCTAGAGTAAATTTATTTTTTTTTTTTTGTATTTTTTACCAAAACCAGAATGTAATTATCTGTGTTAATGGTTTGCAATCATTTACTGATTTTCATAAACAGGACTCATGGTCATCACCAAGAAGTTGTGTTTCATATTCAGTGCTGGAAGGACAGCTGCAACATAGTCTTTGAGATAAGTGAAAGAAGAACAAGAGAAGAATAAGAAATGCAGCGCTTGCCAAGTGGTTAGCTATTTAAACATGTGTTTGGCATCCTAGATATTTATGTTTTTATTCCATAAAATTACATCATTTCACATCATACACATACAATTTCCTTTTGTTAATGTATCTCTTTTTACTTGATTCCTTTTCAAGCTCGAGCACCCATAAGGTTATGAATATTTTCCTGTATTTGTCCCCTGTATTATTAGCAGCGTTATCTGAAGCATTTACTGAACTGCAGTTAATAAAACCTCTATTTTGAAACGTGTTTTTGCCCACCAAGTCTTCATTCCGCATAAGAAACGTTTTCCAGCTAAACATAGCAATATTTTGTCCAGTTTTTAGAATCAGAAGCTCTGAAGCTTTTAAATGGGTCACCCATTAGTATGACTTAGTCACATGTACTTTAAATTAGCCAAGTGCTTAATTGGCAGGCTGGGTGTTTGCATGTATAAATAGAGATGTTTGATCCAGGAGATACCGTGGCACAGTGGGTGTCACTTCACGTGTTCTAATCCTCCAGAAAGAAGAGAATCCTCAGTGAACTGGTTTTTCAAACCAATCGGATTTCCAGAAAATTAAAGGCAATTAAAAATGTTGGCTGCCCAGCAGGACTGGAAAATCAGGCTGTTGTTTTCATTGCCAGGAAAAAATAGATATATGCCTCTGAAAAATTTGGATATAGGCATATATGCCTCACAATACCAGCACTGGTTTTAGCAGGGAAAGAAAAGCCCTGATTAGTGTAATTTTGAGTGCCCGACTGACAGTTAGGTTGGAGGTAAATAACACCAGCTAGGATGGATTCAGGCATGGTTCAAACCTCAAATTTCAGTTACTTTTGGTCCTAAAACAGAGTTAAACTTGGAATCTGATCGGGCATTGTTCTTTACACTGGTGATTCCTGAATTTTCTTATGGATCATGGTGGGGACTGGAAGAGACTGTAATGTCATCATGGGGAGTTTATGGTGAAAAACCCAAATAAAGCAGTCAGTGGAATGGTAACAAATGAGAGGGATTTGTGTCACGAGAGCAAATATGGATGTGGGTAAACAAGGAAAGACGAAGAAGAAGGTTTTGCAAGGTGCAACAAGAGAAAATGTCGTTATTTTTTAAACCAATGGGCAAACAGCTAAAAATTCTCCACACTTGACCTGGTCACTAAGGCAAAACTTAAACCTGGGGGATTTGAGTCAGGCAGGTAATGATGTTTAGGTTGGATCTGCATTTCTTGTGTCAGTTGTGAAAGATGGGAAGCTCTGCGAGCACAGAGACATCAAAGCCTCTTGCAGTGCATGTGACAGCTGGAGCAGGGACACGTGGTATTTGGGTGCCACAGTTCCAGGGGGCACTTTACATATATAACAATCTGCCCTGCCGACTGGATGGGTCAAGTTCCCATGGAATCACCTGGGGGGAATTGCTGCTAACTCCCAGTGTTCACATTGCCTGCCAGGATCCCACCAGGATAATATTTTCTAACTTTGATATGCTTATA